TAGCCACGCCCCTCGCGTCGTCTCGGCCGCTCGCTCCAATCGCGTGCGCGCGCTCGCGAGGCCGGCAACTGGCAGATCCGGAGGGGACCGGAAGTCCCACCCCCAAGACCCACGCACGGAAAGGCGCTAGGAGGATGCCAATGGATCGGTTCGCGTGGCCTACTGGGTAATGTAGTTCTTGGTACTCTAGAGACCTGGTGTGCTCCTAAGGCAGTGGTTCTCAACCTTCCTAATGCCGCGACCCTTTAATACACTTCCTCAAGTCGTGGTGAGCCCCAACCATAAAATTATTCTCGTTGCTACTTCATAAATGTAATTTTGCTACTGTAAACATTATGGAGCCCTAACCGTTTTGGCTCGGTGGATAGAGCGTCGGCCTGTGGACTGAAGGGTCCCGGGTTCGATTCAGGTCAAGGCATGTACCTGGGTTGTGGGCACATCCCCAGTGGGGGGTGTGCAGGAGGCAGCTGATTGATGTTTCTCTCTCATCGATGTTTCTAACTCTCTATCCTTCTCCCTCCTCTCTGTAAAAAAATAATATGCCTATGAACCTGCATCTAATGGTTTGATTCCCAGTAGGGGCACCTGCCCAGTTACCTGCTTCATCCCCAATAGGGGCATGCAGGAGTCAGCTAATCAATGATTCTCTCTGGTCATTGATGTTTCTTTTTCTCTCTGCCTCTCTGAAATCAATAAAAATATATTTAAAAAACAAACTGTATGAAGTAGGAAATTTCGTGCAGGGGGAGGGTGTCCCCACAGCCTGTCCTGCGCCCTTTCGCAGTCTGGGAGCCCTTGGGGGATGTCCGACTGATGGCTAAGGTCTGCTCCCATGGCTTCTGAGCTCGCCAGTTGTCAGCCCCCCTTGTGGCTGAGCTGAGCGGAGCTCCCCCTGCGGGAGCACACTGACCACCAGAGAGCAGCTCCTGCATTGAGCCTCTGCCCCCTGGTGGTCAGTGCATGTCATAACGACTGGTCGGTCCAGCCACCAATGTTCTGCTGTTTGTTCAATGTGCATATTACCCTTTTATCATATAGGAGGATACTGCCCCAGCTGGTTAGGCTATGTGGGTAGAGTGTCGCCAGCAGACTGATGTGTCCTGGGTTCGATTCTGGTCAAGGGCACTCACCGCAGTTGCAAGATAGATCCTGGCCCGGGTCAGGGCACATGCGGTAGACGACAAATCGATGTGTCTCTCACATCGATGTTTCTTTCTCTCACCTGTCCCCCTCCCCCTCTCTATAAAAAAAAAAATCAATGGAAAAATATCCTTGGGTAAGGATTAACAACAAAAAAAGCGCGCCTAGGACCTAACTGGTTTGGCTCAGTGGATAGAGCGTTGGCCTGCGGACTCAAGGGTCCCAGGTTCGATTCCAGTCAAGGGCATGTACCTTGGTTGCGGGCACATCCCCAGTAGGGAATGTGCAGGAGGCAGCTGATTTATGTCTCTCTCTCATCGATGTTTCTAACTCTCTATCTCTCTCCCTTCTTCTCTGTAAAAAATCAATAAAACATATATTTAAAAAAAGCCCGGCCAGCATGGCTCAGTGGTTGAGCATCAACCTTTGTACCAGGAAGTCACAGTTTGATTTCCCATCAAGGCCACCTACCTGGGTTGCAGGCTCAATTCCCAGTGTGGGGTGTGCAGGAGGCAGCCAATCAATGATTCTCTCTCATCAATAATGCTTCTATCTCTTCCTTCCTCTCTGAAATCCATAAAAAATACATATATAAAAAGTATCTGAGATAGTTTCCGATCTATTGATGTAAATGGTTGTATCATTCCATAGTCATTCATACCTAAAAGGAGTCCATGCATAGCTGGAAAGATTACATTGCTGATCTTCAAATGAAAGTAGCCTGAAACATTACTCTGTTATTATATTTCATCAGGAAAAAAAGGTTCCATGTAGCCCTAATTGGTTTGGCTCAGTGGATAGAGCGTCAGCCTGCGGACAGAAGGGTCGCAGGTTCGATTCCAGTCAAGGACATGTATCTTGGTTGTGGGCACATCCCCAGCAGGAGGCAGCTGATCAATGTTTCTCTCTCATTGATGTTTCTAACTCTCTATCCCTCTCCCTTCCTCTCTGTAAAAACTCAATAAAATATTTTTTTTAATAAAAAGGTTCCATGTAGAGCCATGAGAAGGAGGAAGAAGAGTGTTAGGCTGTTAGGCTGCCCTGAAGCAGGTAGATAAGCTACAGCTCTGCCTCTGGTTGCACTGGAAAACTCTCTTGCCTATGTCAGTGAATGTGTACTAGCCACTGGTGAACGCTGTTTTATTCCTATGGTAATTCTTAAATATACATATATTGTATTGAAAAGGTTCCATGTAGAGCCATGAGAAGGAGGAAGAAGAGTGTTAGGCTGTTAGGCTGCCCTGAAGCAGGTAGATAAGCTACAGCTCTGCCTCTGGTTGCACTGGAAAACTCTCTTGCCTATGTCAGTGAATGTGTACTAGCCACTGGTGAACGCTGTTTTATTCCTATGGTAATTCTTAAATATACATATATTGTATTGATTTTATATATTTTATTGATTTTTTACAGAGAGGAAGAGAGAGAGATAGAGTTAGAAACATCGATGAGAGAGAAACATCGATCAGCCGCCTCCTGCACAGCTCCCACTGGGGATGTGCCCGCAACCAAGGTACACGCCCTTCACCGGAATCGAACCTGGGACCCTTCAGTCCGCAGTCTGACGCTCTATCCACTGAGCCAAACCAGTTACGGCTATTGTATTGATTTTAGAGAGGGAGAGGAAGAGATAGAAACATCAATGATGAGAATCATTGATCGCTGCCACCTGCACGCCCCCTACTGGGGATCGAGCTTGCGACCCAGTCTTGTGCCCTTGGCTGGAATCGAACCTGGGACCCTTCAGTCTGCAGACCGACGCTCTATCCACTGAGCCAAACCAGTTACGGCTATTGTATTGATTTTAGAGAGGGAGAGGAAGAGATAGAAACATCAATGATGAGAATCATTGATCGCTGCCACCTGCACGCCCCCTACTGGGGATCGAGCTTGCGACCCAGTCTTGTGCCCTTGGCTGGAATCGAACCTGGGACCCTTCAGTCTGCAGACCGACGCTCTATCCACTGAGCCAAACCAGCTGGGGCGATCTCCGGGTGATTTCTGAATATCCTGAAACTCATAGCATCCAGGCCTCAAATGAGCACCAGAAAGCCCTGCCATCTTCCCTAGAAGGTTGTTGGCAGGAATGGAAACTTGGCAAAACCAGTGAGTTATATGTTGCTATTATACTATCCCCGTGAAGAACACAAAGTTGGATATCCCCATATAAAGGTTCACCCTTCGCCCTAGCCCGTTTGGCTAAGTGGCTAGAGCGCTGGCCTGCAGACAAGTTTCCAGCTTGGATTCCGCCCCCACCACATGCTTGGGTTGTGGGCTCGATCCCAAGTAGAGGGCATGTAGGAGGGAGCCCATCAATGATTCTCTCTCATTATTGTTGTTTCTATCTTTCCCTCTTTCTCCCTTCCTCTCTGAAATCAATAAAAATATATATTTTTAAAAAGTTCAGCCATAACCGGTTTGGCTCAGTGGATAGAGCGTTGCCTGCGGACTGAAGGGTCCCAGGTTCAATTCCGGTCAAGGGCATGTACCTGCGGGCACATCCCCAGTGGGGGGTGTGCAGGAGGCAGCTGGTCGATGTTTCTCTCTCATCGATGTTTCTAACTCTCTATCCCTCTCCCTTCCCCTCTGTAAAAAAAAAAAAATCAATAAAATATATTTTAAAAAAACAAAAACATTCACCCTTCACACTTGTGGATTCAAATTATGTTTATAAAACATCCCACATAATAAATAGAACAACCAAAATGAAAGAGGACTTTCAGAGGAGGGACTTAGACAGTATTGCAGAAACCAAAGCAACGTGCAGGGGACGGTTCAGGTTGGCGACACAGAAGTTGAAAAAAATTCATGGGAGAACTCGGCCCTCTAGCCAGACTCATGCCATAGTCTCTGAGCCCAATGTGAACTCTGAAGACTTGAGGTTACGCCTAATTTCCTCCAATAAATGGGAGAAGAGAAGTCAGCTTCCTGGAGCATGTGAGGATGGTAACTGACACAACCCATGGAAACCAGTTGTGTGGAAGGGCAATGTGGCTTTGAGAACAGAAAACGGCAGGTTAGAAAATGCAACAGATATAAAGAGTGTCCCAAAATTCACGCAAGATTTGAATTTTGCCTGAGCATTAACAACAACAACAAAAAATAAAAGCCTAATTTTACTTGATTTATTGAATCAGATTCTAATATCTGTTGCCCTTTGATTTCAATCCCTTCAATTTGATAAGCATTACCAAGTACCAATTATGGCCCAGGA